TACGTCTTCGATCTGGCTGAAGGTGACAGCGTCACTGCAGAAGAACCCCATCTTGTCTCAGGAGAGCGGCAAACCACGAGCCTGCAAGAGGCCCACGGTTCCCTTAAAGGAATAGTTCAACTCCTGCGAGACCGTCGCGGGCCCACCGACCGACTGCAAGCGAATGTCGTCGATCTGGCTTTTGATGCGAAGCTACCTGCTGCGAATCCCGACATGTCGAGGCACCGTCACAATCGTCAGTTCGGCGAACTCTGCAGCACACGAACACCCAACCACGTTCGTCCCATTGGCAAAAATCATGCCCGAGGTGGAGTTCTGATAAAGGGCCCTCCTGGGCCCTCTGTAAAAGGGCACAAAGCGGCCTGAGGAGTCCCTCTGGGAAACCTGTAACTCGGGTTGCGTCTGAAATTTCGTTGTGCAAGATCATGTCGTAAAACTTACGCCGGTCGACGCACGCACTAGGCCCCCGGCAAGGCTGATTCGATGGCCTTTCTGAATTCTATACACGATGTGGGTCTCGCGCGTGTCAACCGTTTTGGCAATTTTCAGATCAGGCAATGTGGCCCCGATGGGCTGCAATGGCTGCAACGTTACGATATCCTCGGATCTCGCTTGGCTCAAGCGAAACGCCGATGAGATCACCAAGAACGGCGCTTTGGGACGTTCGCTGTTTTCTGTCCTAGCCTGGCTATGACGAGTCGATGCGGGGATCGTCAGGAATGGCGTTCTGGGACCTTCCGGATTTGTTTCAGTCTCAGCCTGGCTGTGACGCCGCGAAGTGCGATAGTGTTGCAACTGTCCAACGTTATGGATGACGGTTTGGAGTTCTGGCGCAGGACATCCTTACCACAACGACGCCGATCATGACGTTGAGAATTCGTGAATGAAAATACTTTAATTTCACATTGGCGAATATTAAAATATGGTCGGCGTCATTTTGATGAGAAGGTCCTCTGCCAAGGCTCCAACAAGTCATTCGTAACCTTGGACAAATGCAACCCCATCGCACTTCGTGGCTTTCATCATCGTTTCGTCATAGCCAGGCTAGGACCGGAAAAACAGTAACGACCCAGAGCGCCATTGTTGGCGACCAGGATCGTTTCGACATAGCCAGGCTAGCACAAAAAACAGCGCAACGTCCCAAAGCGCCATTCCTGGTCGAATCGGCCTTGCCGGAAGGCCGTGGATGTAAAAAATAACGCGAAATCAAATCATCACGTTGGAATTCCGCCGTTCAGAAAAAATAAAAGCACTCCAGGCCACAACATGGGGCTCAAAAGCCTGCACTTGTGGTTCGCGCTTATTTTTCACATTTTCGGCGGCGGCCGCCGATCGTGCCCAGCTTGGAAAACGCGGATTTCGAATGGCGAAATTCCAATGTTACGAGTCAGCTTCGCGCTAATAGTTTCCATCCACGGAAGCACTGAAAAAATCTAACTCAGGGGCCGCACTTGCGAGCACATCGTGAATCCAAGCCGATGTATCACACAAGGTTTCCGAGGAGCTGCCCCAAAGAAAGAATCTGGGAGCGTTGCCTCCCACCTGGCTACAGCACGATGCCTTAAGCAAGACCAAAGACTTTGGACGCCCGTAATGGGTACGGAAAGGATGGGTACAATGCCCAACAACAAGTGTTGCCCCAAACCAACAGCGGCCGCTGTTGGGCAGGCGGCCTTCGGTGGTAAATGGACACAGGCCGCGGCGACACCGACAGCGAGCCCTGTTCAGAGTGAACAGGAGCTGCTGTTGGGCATCGTACTCCAGATTTCGTAATAAAGGGAGGGGGGTCTCATTTCAGGGGGGGGGGGTTCCAGGCTATTTTGGAGGGCCTGGGGGGGGTCTGGGGACGATGTTTTGGAGGGTTCTCCCACGGGGGGGTCTGAAATGGCTGAAATGGCTTGTCTTGGAGGGTCCAGACCCCCTCCCTTTTATTACGAAATCTGGAGTACCCATCCTTTCCGTGCCCATGTCGTTCGTGCCGAAAGGCGTGGAAGAAGCGTGAGGCGTGAAGCCCCGGCGGAAAAAAAGGCCCACGGGGCGCAGGACGGTGAAGCACATAACATCGCTGCCTCCGCCCGCGGCGGCGACGACGCGCACCATGCCACACCGGGCAGCAGGCGCGCGTGAGGCATGGCAGCAAGGGAAGAGGAGGAGGGCCCACGGGAGGCCTGGAAATGGGCACCAACACCACGACAGAGGGCTGCCTCCACAGGGGGGAGGTGATCCTAGATTTCGGTGTTGGTGGTAATATTTCGGCCACCCTGGAAGCCAGAATATTACCACCATCACCGAGATCGGGGTCTTCTTCCCTCGGTGGAGGAACGCCGCCGATCCTAGCGTTGGTGTCAACCTCTAGGCCTGCAAGAGGGCCGAGGGAAACTCCTCCACCCGCCGAGGAGGGAGACGGTCCCACCCGATGGGACGCACAGAGACATACTAATACTATGTGTCCGCCTTGGAGGCGCGCGTCCGACCCGAACATATAGTATACCCATCTTGTAGTATATCGTTTCTCGAGCGGTGTGGCCAGAAAGCGCCCGCCACGACGCATATACTATAAGATTTCTCGGTTCGCGCGTCGCCCCTGGGGGGGCGACGAACACATAGTATAAGTATGTTGGGGGGACGCCGACCCGAGTGCACTCTTGCCGCGCAGCGGGCCAGGCACGGCCCCCACGTCGTCGTCCGTGAGCCGGGGCAGCGGCTCAGATGAGCCACGTCCCTCTCGAAGGGGTGGAGGGAGCCCGTCGCCCGCACGCCCGGGGGCGACCCAGAGACTGACCCCCAGTCGTGCAGCATCGTCTGCAGCGCTCCGTGCCCCAAAACGGGGCGTCCTCCTCCTCCTCCTCCTCCTCCTCCTCCTCCTCCTCCTCCTCCTCCTCCTCCTCCTCCTCCTCCTCCTCCTCGGGACACCCCCTGGGCAAGGTCCGCGACCGTGGCCCCTCGGGGCCCTCTTCTGGAGAACCCGAGAGCCAGGCTGGCCCCGCTGGCGAAAGCCAACTCCGAAAAAATCCTTTCCAGCTCCACTTGACGGCGGCGGCGTCGGCGGCCGTGTGCGACAGCACTCGGTATTGCAAACATGTATAGGCCTGACTCCGCTTTTCAGGGTTCTGGAGGCCCTCTGAAAGGTCACAGAGCGAATTCACAGAGACGCGGTTTTTCCCCACCCACGCCAGCCTGTCCCAGACCCCGGAAGAGTCGGTGAGCATTCTCACCGCAACGAGAACGAGAGGGGAGGGGGTGGAACGAGAGGGGGGGGTGAAACGAGAGTGGGAGAGGCGAGGGGGAGGAGCGAGAGGGGAAGTGTGAGGAACGAGAGGAGAGGCCGATAGGGGTGCGACTGGCGAGCGGGAGGGGGGGGCACGCAGACCTTCCTCCTCAGCCGGAGAAGTGGCATCACTGATGCGAGACCAGACTGGGCCGCAAGCAAGCACCGGGAACACAAACACACACACACACAGCGACCGAGGACAACGATGCTTAAAACGCGGTGGCGCCTAGAACGAAAAACCAAACACGAAATCGAATGTATAAAACAAACGTTTAGAACGAAACCGGTGCCAAACGCAAACGAACCCGAAACGAAGCACAGCGGAACAAAACGAAACCAACACCGAAACGAAGCACAACGGAACGAAAACGAAAAACGAAACGAGCAACAAAGCACGGGCAAAAACCAAGCTCAACATCGTTGTGCCCGGTACATACACAGTTTTAGCGGTCGTGTCCTCGCGCGCAGCGTCGAGGCAGAGAAGGTAGCTGAACGGGCCGGTGCGCGCGCGGGGGGGGGGGCATTCAGAGCGTGCGGGGCCCATGTTGGGTCAACCAACCATCCCCATCTGGGGGCACACACACACACACACAAACGCACAGACGCGAACACACACACAAGCAATCACATACACACAAACACACACAAACACACACACACACACACACACACACACACGCACGCACGCACGCACGCACAGACAGACACACAGATACACACACGCACACCTACATGCACACACACACACACGCACACACACACACACACGGACGCCCACACACAACTATATATACATAGATACGACCTATACATACAGCTATGTTTGTGTATGCACATGCATATATAAGCATTCGTGCACGGCATCTATCCATGTATAAGTACAGTATGTATACACGAGTGTATGTACACACGCGGTTACATCTATGCATCGAAAAAAAGATATGCATAAAGCTAATAACAACAAACAAGACAGAGATGGGGAGGCAGGGCGGAAGAGAGGGAGAGAGAAAGAGATAGAGAGAGATATAACAAAACAAACAAACACCTAAGACAAAATAAAGGGAACATGAGGAGATGGAGGAGGAGGACGAGGAGGGGGAGGAGGAGAAGGAGGAGGAGGCGGAGGAGGAGAAGGAGGAGGAGGAGGACGACGACGACGGGGAGGAGGAGTGGAGGAGGAGTGGAGGAGGAGGAGGACGAGGAGGAACGGGAGGAGAAGGGGGAGGAGGAGGGACAAGGACGAGGAGGAGGGGACGAGGCTGAGGACGAGAACGAGGAGGAGGAGGAGGAGGAGGAGGACGAGGAGAGAGAGAGAGAGAGAGAGAGAGAAAGAGAGGGAGAGAGAGAACAACAACCAAAAAGAGGGAGAGGCTACGCTTGCCGTGCAACCGCGTGCCCGTCTTTCCCCCCCGTATCCAGGAAGAGCTGGGCGGGAGGATGGAGGAGGGACCGACTGAGGGGCAGAGGAAGGGGGAGGGATGTGAGGAGGAACGGGGGATGAGGGGAGCCCAGACCCCCTCGCGTTGTGAAAAAAATCACGACAAACAGTCTTGCAATAATTTCGGCCTCCTGGGGCCCTCACGGGGCCTGAGAACCGTCAAAAACGACTCAGGAGGAAAAACCGGTCACAGGGAAGGGGTCCAGACCTCTGGGGGTCGCCGCTCTGATAAAATCACGACGTCGGGGGTCTGGGGGGAGTGGGGAGAAATGAGGGAGGAAGACACGCTTCCTCATAGAGGTACTCCTGGCTGATGCAATTGAGGTTTGCATCTGTGGGAGGAACCGTCCACTTGCCGCCCTCCATCGGCACCGCGGGCTCACCGAGGAGCACCTGAGCTGACACCACTACATGAGAAGGCGCGGACAGGAATCAGGATCGAAGTAAGCTACACGATGGTGCAAACGGCCGCATGCACATGAGCAGACTCTGTTGCGCAGAGGGGAATACTGAGAGGTTCCTGCAGGAAACGCTGGGAGAACAACCAGGATAAAAAAACAGGGGACAAGAGGACGACGCCCGCGACGGCAACGCTGCTGACGACGGCGCCGAGGCCCGCGCAGACGGCGGCGACGACGCCGACCCCGACGATGGCACCGCCCGCTCCAGCGCAATGAAGGAGGAGGAGGAGGAGGAGGAGGAGAGGAGGAGGAGGACGAGGAGGAGGAGGAGGAGGACGAGGAGGAGGAGGAGGAGGACGCGGAGGAGGAGGAGGACGCGGAGGAGGAGGAGGAGGAGAGGAGGAGGAGGAGGAGGAGGAGAGGAGGAGGAGGAGGAGGAGGAGGAGGAGGAGGGGAGGGGGGGGGGAGGGGGGAGGGGGGGGAGGAAGAGAAGGAGGAGGGCAACAGGACGAGGAGAAGGCGACGCGGGCCGAGGCACGCGGGTCCGCCGGCCGGCGGCCGGCGGGGCACAGGGGGGGCATGCGCGGGCGGGCTGGGACCCGTGGCGACCAGACCTCAGGAAAGGCGACGGACTCGCAATTGCGGACAGCGAACACGTGACGAGGGTAGCGGCATCGGGACCTCTTCCTCCTCCGACCCTCTGACTACCTACCAGACCACCCCAACCGGACCCGAAGATCCGAATTTCGGGTCTGGGGGGGGCGTCCACTCGTGTTTTTCCCATGTCTCTCCAACGATGTGCAATTGCAGGATTTGCAGCAAGTTCCACCCAATGCGGCGCAGCATCCAGAACTGCAGCAGGCTGTGGGAATTGCGTTTTGCTGTCCACCGTGTCCCTCAGGGAAGCTCGTCGTGGGTCGTGGGGTGGAGGAGGGGAGGGGGGGAAGAGGAACAACATCAGGAGCAGGACGAGCAGGAAGCACAGCAGCAGGCTGGGAGGTACGAGAGCCGACGACGGTGGTGAGGACGACGGAGAACGGGCCGAGTCACGAAGCCGTGCGCTGACCTCGAATCCCCGCCGACTCACCACACGGTGCGTTGAAGAACAAATCCTGGATGCCCCGCGAGGAAAACGTGAGGCCCAACTGCAATGCGTCGGATCCACGTCGGGGTCGCTTCGAGTCTACATCGGGTTCACGTTGGACCTACGTTGGACTTACAGTCATCGGCCTGACCTAAGGAACGATAAATAAGGGAAGCCCCTTTTTATCCCAAGGAATAACGCATAAGGAACGATAAATAACAATTAACGCATAAGGAACTGTAAATAACGCATGCGAACCTAAGGAACGACCGAGCCCCCTTTTGAAAAGAAAGTGTTCCTTATTCAAGCCGCTCACTGTAGGTCGGGGCATCGCCGCGCGAACGTCGTCCCATGCCTGACGGGGGGGGCGAACGTGCGGACTCGACAGTACGACTCTTGCGCGCCGCGCGAGGTCTCCGGGATGGTCTTCGTAGGGTGTGGTCACCGCACGGTGTGCCCCCCCCCCGAATCGGATCGTAACCCATGGATTCTGCGTGTCTGAACACGTGCAGTGCAATACAGATAAAAAGCTGAGAAATGAGGAGGGGGAAGAAGAGGCGAAGCAGGAGGAGGAGGGAGAGGAGGAGGAGGAGGGGGAGGAGGAGGAGGAGGAGGAGGAGGAGGAGAGGAGGGTGGAGGAGCAGAAGGAGGAGGAGGAGGAGGAGGAGGAGGGAGGAGGAGGAGGAGGAGGAGGAGGAGGAGGAGGAGGGAGGAGGAGGAGGAGGAGGAGGAGGAGGAGGAGGAGGAGCAGGAGAAGGGAGAAGAAGAGGGCTCCTCCTCCTCCTCCTCATCATCCTCCTCATCCTCCTCCTCCTTCTCCTCCTCCTCCTTCTCGATCCTCCTCCTCCTCCTCGATCCTCCTCCTTGTGAGATGCTGGTCAGACTGTAGCGCGATGTCTGTAGTGTCCAATCCGTCTCCTCATCCTCCTTCTTCCTGGATCCTCCTCCTCCTCCTTCTTCCTCCCTTTCCTCCTTGTTCGATCCTCCTCCTTCCTTCCTCCTCCTTGCCTTCTTCCTTCATCCACCCCATGTTCCTCTTCGATTACACCTCGTTCCTCGATACATATGCTGCTACCGCGCCTCCTCCTCCTGCTCCTCCTCCTCCTTCTCCTCCTCCTCTCTCCTCTCTCCTCCCTCCTCGAGCGTAGCCGTTGTTTTGATTCCTTTATCCGCCGCCGCCGCCGCTGCCGCCTCCGTCTTCTGTCTCTCTGCGGGGGGGAGGAGGACACGAGGGCGAAAGGAAGGGGGAGGAGGAGATTTTGTGAACATCCACGACAAGGGAGAATACGAACAACGGAGGGTCACAGATGAGAAGGAGGGAGGAGGGAAGGGGAAAAGGGAGGAGGGAGGAATGACATCGGATCGGGGACTCGGATCGGATCGGAGTGTGCGTCGGGTCAGGCTGCATCGGCGATGAGCCGAACTCGGATCGGATCGGCTGCGCCAGGATGCACAACAGCGAAATGCAAGCTGACGCATCGGATCGTCGGGACATCGGAAGCGCGCCGGATCGGGATCGGGCCAGCCGAGACCGGCCTCGAAGCGGATCGAAGTGGGCCCTGGGACGGCGAACGACCGGACGGGCAGGAACTGGCCCGGGGGTCGCAGAAGGCGTTCCTAAGGAGATGAGCTTTTCAGCCCAGGCGTTCTCGCCCGATTTCGGCCTCGGGGGGCCGCTTGTCGGGCCCAGGGGCTATCGAATAAGGGATCCGGGACGCAAAACCACGTACATGAAAGGGGTCAGGACCTCGGGAGAACGCCAGCCCTGATTTCGGAACCGCCGTATGCTTGTTGATTTCCCAATTTGAGAGGATACGTTTTAAGGGCGCTTGCCTTGGGAGCATTCGGCGGCGCGTTTCCAACCGGGGGGGGGGGCCCCCCGTAAAGGCGCGCGAACGCCCCAGGGGTCCGTTCCCGTTCCCGTTCCCGTTCCCGTTCCCGCCGCCCGTGCCACTTTCAGAGGATAGAAGGGGAGGAGGGAGGGAGGGAGAAGGGAGGAGGGAGGAGGAGGCAGGGAGGGACAGAGGGAGGGAGGAGGAGGGAGGAGGAGAGAGAAGGAGGGAGGGAGGGAGGAGGGAGGAGGAGAGAGAAGGAATTTGACATCAACATCAAGGTAGAGAGCCAGCCCAGACAATTAGGGCAGGACGGCTGGTCAAGCCAGCAAATACTAACACCTGAAGAGCGAGGAAAAGCAGCGGGCCACAGGGTCATCTCCAGCTGGCTGGAGGATACCCCGTGGCCCGCTGCTTCTCCCCCAGGCGTTAGTCCGAACTAGAGTCGCCCTCATCACGGTGCGCGAGCACCGAAATAAACGACGCCTCTCTGGCCTCACAGCGAGAAGAGGCCGGGGCACAGGGCAAACCAAGAAGGGGGGGAGGAGGAGGAGGAGAAGGAGGGCCCTGAAAAAGAAAACGAGAGGCTTCTTCGTCCGCCTCCCAGTCCTGCAAACCAGCGTGCTCGGACACAGTCGCTCCCCCCCCCGCTCCCCGCTCCACCCCGTCCCCACGGTCCTCGGCGGCGGTGGCGGGGCGCGGAGAGCCGTGCTCCTGCGCCGCGGCGGCACCTGCATCGGCTACCTGAAGGCCTCCTCCCTTCTGCGCCCACGGCCCTCTCTCAACCGAGACTCCTGGACGCTTAGGATGGAGGCCTTTACAAATCGGGTGCCAACTGTTGTACTTCTTTGATCTGGTCGGGCCGCTGCAAACATCCGCAAGGCCCGACGCACGACCATGAGACGAATAAGAATAGCACTTGGTGCAGATCACCAAAGTCGAATTGTCTGAGCAGGCCAGCGTCAAACACCTGTGTCCCCGCGCCTCCAAAACCTGCGCCTCCATCCCTCGAACAGGGGAGCACTTCGAGGAAGGAGGCGGGGGACCATGGGTGGAAAGACGGCTGACTTTTGCACACCTCGAACACTTCCAAAAGCCCGAGACGGAACCAAGCTCGACAATCTGGATGGGCTGCCAATCGCAAAGCACAGAGGAAACCACCTGGGGGGGGTCCGGCTGAATCCAGGCTAATTTGGGCCACAAAGGCATCAGCTTAGCAGACAACCACAGCCCTAGAAAACTTAATGTCGAGATCAAGCCTGCACCTGTCCTCCTCCGACGGCTGTGGGTGCCCCAGGTACCCTTCCCCCGCAGAAGCACTTTTAGCTCCAACATCAGCGTGGTGGTTCCCAAAACGGCACATCTTGTCATGATTGTCGGTCCACTCATCCAAAGAGCGATGCGCTTTCACTTTGTTCAAAGAGCGGACCTTCCAGAAATCCGAAAGGAGGGAGAGGGAGAACCCGCTGTAGCTTCGCTTAGGTGAAAGCTGGTCAATCTGAGGGCGACCGAAGTGATCTTTGACCAGCTGTGCATCTGTATAAAAATCCGAAGGTCCTCCTGAGAAAAGTATGGCTTGACAAATAGCAGCAAACTCGCCCGCAGGGGCAGTCTGGGGGTAGCACGGGGGGACGGGACCGTAGAGCTTTCCCAAGAGGTCCCCCTGGTCGTCCACAGCCACAAAACACCAGCCTGCCCTGCTGAGCTCGCGAACTATATGCTTACATGCGCTACCGTCTGTGAAAATATTGTTTGTGAAAGGAAATTGGCCTACATCCTGGGGAAGGTCCTCCCTGGCCCAGAAAGTACCAGACGACTCGGCCGCGGGACCAGGAAAATAATCCCCAGGGTGGGCAAAAGCTCCAAAACAAGACCGAATCGAATTGGGCTCCTCCAGGGCCTTGCAAACAAGCTCGGGAGTAACAAGACTGGAACGGAGCTCGACAACCTCCTGGCACCTGCAGACCCAAAGTCGGTGGTGGAGCGTGTCGGGGGCAGAGCCGCAGAGGTGGCACGTGGGGTCTATCTGGTAACCCAATCGCAATGCTTTTGCACGAGTCCACACTGCGTCCGTAGC